TTGGGAATATGGAGGCCGAGTCCGACAAGGGAAAACTTCCGAGCCAGCCTGAGCAAACCAAGGCAATAACAGTGTTGAGAAGCGGGAAGGAAGTGGACAACAAAGTGAGAATGCCCGATCCTAATGGCCCCAAATCAACCGACCAGCCCAAAGAACCCGAGGAGAGTACGAAGAGCACAAAAACCGACTCGGGAAAACCAGCAGAGAGTCCTCTGCTTCACAAGTCTCCAAATCCTTACAAGCCACACATCCCTTTTCCGAGTAGACTCCGAGACGAGAAGCAAGAGCAACAGTTCCGAGATCTCTACAACATGCTCTTAAAGGTCAATGTCAACTTACCTCTCCTAGACGTGATCAAGAACATGCCTTCTTACGTGAAGTTCTTCAAAGATTTGGTCACGAAGAAGAGGAAGTTCGGAGATGGGGAGAAAGTGGTGGTTTATGAGGCAGCGAGTGCCATGCAACATGATCTTCCAAAGAAGGAACGAGACCCCGGAGGTTTCGTGATAAAGATTGCTCTGGGGAATGGAAAAGAGGCTTCGGGGATGCTCGACCTCAGAGCGGGAATCAACCTCATACCGTTTTCTATCTTCCAGCGACTCGGTTTAGGAGATTTGAGACCCACTCGCATGTGTCTTCAGCTCGCAGACCGTTCGATCAGATACCCCAAGGGGGTAGTTGAGGATGTCCTTGTTCGTGTCGGGAGACTCATTGTCCCGGTAGACTTTGTGGTGCTAGATGTGGGGGACGTTCAAGAGAATGGGAAGGATCACACCATCCTTCTTGGTAGACCATTCATGGCCACTACCAACACACTCATTGACGTAAGGAATGGGACGTTGAACATGACAGTCCTAGGTGAATCCGTGTCCATTTCCGTCCGAGAAGCCACCTCGGCATCCTCGGTGAACTTTGTGGAAGAGTGTGCTTTAATAGATGTGAGTGACCCATTTGTGGAAGAGGTAGCCGTTCGAGATTTGGAAGAGAGATTGATGCCCGAACTTGAGGAAGAAGAAGGACCGGTTATTGAGTTGATGGAAGTCGAAGAGCCGAGATCGATAACCCCACCAGCAATAGAGTTAAAAGAGTTGCCTCGTCACCTCAAGTATGTCTTCCTAGATGATGAGAAGAAAAAGCCGGTGATAATCTTTGCCGAGCTCAACCGGGAAGAGGAGAAGGAACTGATTGAGGTACTAAAGAAGAACCAGAAGGCCATCGGTTGGAGCCTTGGCGACATAAAGGGGATCAGCCCTTCTACTTGCATGCATCGAATTGTTTTGGAGGAAAGAGCCAAGCCATTTCGGGATAGCCAACGACGGCTCAACCCGAACATGATGGAGGTAGTAAAGAAGGAGGTGCTGAAACT